TAATAAACTAGAGGCCCGATGCATGAAATTCATGCAAGAGTAGGCCTTCCTTCCCCTGGCTGCTGGCACTGGTTTCCCTCTGGCGCCCGGGACCTGGGCTTCCCTCGCAGCCCCGGCTTCGTCTGGAAGGTCATCTGGTCTAATTAGCATATTACACTTTTATTATTATAGATATTAAAAATCCTGGTTATGGGTTATATATTTTTTTTATTTCTTTGCATGTCTGGTGATTTTTGGTTGGATATTGAACACTATTTCTTACATTGTTGAATGCTGGCTCTTGTATTTCTTTCAAGTATTAGACTTTGTTCTGGCACACAGGAAGTTATAATACGAACATTTTGAGGCTTGTTTTTTAATATTTACTAGGCTGAATCCATAGCAGTTTGTACTCTTGCAGTGGGGCTAATTTGGCCCCACTAAATTAGCCCCACTACAAGAGTACAACTCAACTCTTCTGAAGATGTTACCCAGTGCCTCAGCTATTAGCTCTCTCAGTTCTGGCTGGTGGAAACATGAGCTATTTCCAGCTCTGTGAGGTCCAGCAATTGTTTTGTTTTCTGCTTCCCAGTCATTCTTTCCTTGGCCTTGCTGATTAGTACTCAATGGACTTCCTTCACCCTGGCCTATCCCAATTAGTACTCAACAGAAATCTCTAGATTACCCTGCAGACCTCTGGGGCTTTTTTTGTTGTTGATTGGCAGTTCTCTCAGTGATTTAGAACTCTGATTTTTATCTAGCTCTTTAATGAAGTCAGACCCTGGGCTTTATTTTTGTTTTTCTTTCCTGCACTGTGGCCTGGCAATTGCCTCTGGGCAGTAATCTCGGGGCAGTCACAAGGCTCACTACTTTGATTGTAGTCTAATGTCTAAAAACAGTTGTTTCATGTACACTGGTTTTCCAGTTGCTTATGGAAGAAAAGGAAATTCAGAAATCAGCTGATATATTTGAGGCTAGGTTTTGATACAAAAATTGTTTTTATAATGAGCAAGAGTCAACACTACTTAAACTTCTGTTATACATTCAGTGTTTCTTCAATACACATTGTGAGGTTTTCAGGGAAAGAAAAAAAACAGCTATTTTGTACATTTTTTTCAAGTCTTTGAAAATTTTTTAAAAAATATGTATATACTAGAGGCCCAGTGCACGAATTCGTGTACATTGAAAGGAAATTAATTAGAAAAAATATTTTAATATCACTATTCGCCCTTTCTCTATAATATAAATGTCAACCAAATTCACTATGAACAATGACAGATCGAAACACATGCATGCGATTGGACCCAGCGAGAGCTTTATATGTATCGTGCATGCACAAGTCAACTAGCCTTTTATAGATATAGAACAAACTTTCTTAATTAGACCTGCTTTCTGATTTAGCTAAACTTTTTCCAGCCCAGTGAAGCACCCCAACTTCTCTTTCAGGTAATTGTTAGCAGCACAGCAGTAAATGTCAACACGAAGCACATTATGATTGTAGATCACACAGGGAGAACAAAGAGTAAAATATTTAACTGCAGCAGTGTTTAAATATATTCTGCACAGTGAGAAAACCTGAAGTCATTTTCAAGGTCCACCATTTCTTACTTTTCAGTCGGGTCAAGTTTCTAAACTTTCTAAATCTCCGTTTTCCGGCTAATGAAAAGATAATAGAATTCCACTGAGTATCCTATCTACCTACTCTAGGACTTCTGTGAGGATCAAATGAGATGAGGCATGGGAAAATGCTTCACAGACATTTGGTTAAAGTGTAAAATGTTTTCACCTGGGTATAAAGCAAGTCGAGTTCCTGGGCTGAAGAAACTGCAAGGAGGCTAGTCGTTGCTAGGGAGAGCAAGCTGGGCATTGGTATGTGATATCATTCCCGATGGGCACTTAGCATATTAGCCTTTTATATATATATGTATTTTATTGATTTTAGAGAGGAAGGGAAAGGGAGAAATAGAAACATCAATGATGAGAGAATCATTGATTGGCTGCCACAATGGGGATTGAGCCCACAACCCTGGCATGTGCCCTGACTGGGAATCAAACCATGACCTCCTGGTTCATAGTCTACACTCAATCACTGAGACACGCCGATAGTTTAATAAGACAATTGTGAGCCAATTGTTCACAATTATATTTTGGTTCATTTCTGCCCAAAGTGTGATGGATTGAATGTCAGTAGAAAATTTTCAAATCTGTTCCCCAGCCATGCCCCAGTTAGAGTTCTCTGTAAACTGACAAGAGATCAAGGATGGGTAACCAGGCATAACACCAAGTTTCCTACTTCCTGACATCTGTGCGTCAAGGCCCTGATTAGACCCTTGTAACTGTAATCAAGGACGTTTGTGGTTTCTGTGAATAAAAGCTTGCCTAGCACCAAGGTCGGGGCTGCTGCAGGAGGAGAGCTCCTTGCGTGGAGACGCCTGTGGCAGTCGCTGGCCAGCTCAATAAATCCTCGCTTGCTGCTTAAGACCCAATTGGAGTCGGTGGTCTTACTCTCGTGAATGTTGGCCCATAACAAAAGCAATTGAGAGCATTGTGTTTTTGCAAGACCTCATCTAGTGCTTTGATTCTAGGTGGTTTTAATAATAACTGCTAACATTTATAGGGTGCTTATTCTACACTAGATACTCTGCTAAACGCTAAATACTTCACATGCATTATTCTATTTAATCCTCACAACAATCCCAAAAGGTACAATATCTTACAGATAAGAAAAAACTGAGACTTAGAAAGTAACTTGTCTGAGGTTACATAGTAATTGCACAATAGGATTCCAAACTGACTTCAGAGCTCACATTATTAAAGTGTTACACCATATTTATTTTGTAATCTCAACACTAATGCAGATGAAAGTTTACTGTGTCTTTAGAATATTTATTTAATATCAATCAATAAATACAAAGACAAAAATTGTTACAAAACCCATAATTTTTATCTTAATATGCAACATAATTCACATTATTACACACCTTTAAACAGAAAAACTTTTAGCACACAAACACCTTGGAAAGAATAATCTGATCCAATACTTTTCATAACTATTCTGGGCAAAATATATTTATTATTTTCTGTCCAAATTTTTAATAAAAAGACAGTAATTTCAAATAGAACAGTATCATTTTATAGTACATTACATTGAGAAATCAAAAACAGTCATTGAATAAGTGTTTACTACATCCCAGGCATTATGTATATCTTTACACTTAAAAAATGGATATTAAACAATCTTGCAGTAAAATAGGGAAGGAAAACTGCTTTGAGTTTGTGCCAAATCAAACCTAAATTTGAGAATTTTGTATTAAGATGAGAGGCATTTATACTGGTACTAGAGGCCTAATGCACGAAATTCGTGCATGCGCGACAAGGGCCTTGTCGCCCTCCCACCACCGCACTGTGGCTGGGGGTCTCTGCTGTGGCCCTGCCCACCACCACGGTGGCTTTGTCTGGAAGGAAGGACGTCCGGAAGGACATCCGGTCTAATTAGCATATTACCCTTTTATTATAGATTTTTTCTAATAAAAAGCCAGTGTGCCCCACCTGACATTTATTTTACAGAGTGTTTTGAGCACTGATTCTCAAAGTTGGCTGAATACTGGAATCACATAGAAAGCTTGAAAAATACTGATACCTATACTATATACCACCTATTTTCAACCGGTATGCCATAAGAACTTTTAAAACATGCAATATATGACTATTTAGTCAGGGGCACTGACCTCTCTTCCCTTAGGTTGTCAAATGAAAAAACAACAGCCAACACAGCAATAGCTGTCCAGTGTGACTGAATCAGAATTATACCCTTCTTTTTGTCAGATTGGCAAAAATATAATAAGATTTTTCAGTGTGCCACAGAATATTATAATTAGTTTATGTGTGCCATGAGATGAAAAAGGTTGAAAATTGCTGCTATATTGCCCTGACCGGTTTGGCTCAGTGGATAGAGTGTCGGCCTGGGGACTGAAGGGTCCCAGGTTCGATTCCGGTCAAGGGCATGTACCTTGGTTGCGGGCACATCCCCAGTAGGAGGCGTGCAGGAGGCAGCTGATCGATGTTTCTCTCTCATCGATGTTTCTAACTCTCTATCCCTTTCCCTTCCTCTCTGTAAAAAAATCAATAAAATAAATTAAAAAAAAAATTAAAAAAAAAAAAGAAAAAAAAGAAAATTGCTGCTATATACCATCCCTCAAAATTTGGATTTGTTATAAGGTAGGGCCTAAGAATATATTATTAAAAACTCTCCAGGTGACTCTAATATGTAACAGGTTGAAAAATACAAAATACTAGCTTAGAGAACTGTCTCATAATCAAAGAGGTCAGTCTTCAGCTGAAGGACTCCCCATGACTTGATTTTTTGGGGGTGGGTGTATTGTTATTTTTAAGTATCTGTTAGGTGTATCTCCCTTAATTAGAAAATAAATACTTTAAGGGAAGAGGTTTTATGTTATTCATCATTGTCTCTCCATACCTAAAATAATGAAAGGCTCATAGTAGTTGCTAAATAAATATCTTATGAATGAATACATGATTGTCTTACATATTTACTGAAAAAAATGAATGACTGAAACAGTTAGGATACATTTTTAAGGCAAACCAAAGTCTATATATACACATTTTAAAAACACATACATATATAAATAGATCAAAAGTAAAAACAATGAGTGCAATATTTAGCAGTTGAGAATTCATTGAGTTTTCAAATATTCTTCACATACTTAACTTAAAAACAAAAGTAACCTTACACAACTAATTCTTTAAGCTAATATCCATATGTACACATGCTGAGTTTTCTTTTGAAAACAGAATTAGAGATTAATTTTACTGAACATGTCAGTTTTAAAATTCAAGTAAATATAATTTTAGTACACACGATGATAGCTTTTCTAGATAGTTCTATAAAAAAACAAAGATTGATTTCTATTAAAATATCTGGTATCATCTATTATTATTTTCTCTCAGTTGGGAGCCACTAGTTTCTTAGCAATTTCACATTGATAAAACTATTTTGGCACTTCCTTGTACAATGTGCTTTGTTTAGGAAAAAACTAATAAACAGACTTCCTTTTTAAAAAGTAGCTGGATTCTTAGATATGGCTTTATTTACTTAAGTTTCACAAGTATTATATAATTTGTAATTCAGTTACTATCTCATACTACGAAACTTTGGTTTTCTTAAAATTAGCATTGGTTGCTTGATTGTAGGTTTATCACCAAAAAGTGCTGCTTCACTTTCCGTGGTTGGAAATCTTTTCTGATATATCTGTGGATATTCCTTCTGAAACTTAAAAATTACATAAGGACTTAGAGAGTTATTTAACATTATTATTCTAGCTGAAGCCAGTATATATTTTAAATTAATTCTGTGCCTTTCTCAAAGATGTAGAGTGGAACCTCATTTCTCGAACTTAATTCAGACAAGGTTCCAGAAGCCTATCTGAGAAGTGATTTGTTTGAAAACCGAATCATTTTTTCCCATTAGAAATAATGTAAATTGAATTAATCCATCCTAGACCCCCAATTGATTCCGTTTTAACCTTTCTTATATACAGTACATGTCTAAGTCTAAAGTACTGTTAACCTATAAATAAAAACTTCTTTTCTTAAATTTATGGAACCACACCTACTAACCTTAAAGGAATTTGTTAGATACCACTGCCTCTAAAATGCTATCACCTGCTAACTGCTTTTCCTTTATCCAATCAACAACAGTTTTTCTACCTATTCATTTGCTTGTGGTTGTTGTTTTGTGAGCACTTTCACACCCTTAGCAACATTAGCACTCTTGATGGCCACTTTGTTTTAAAATTGTGCTAATCAGCATCACAACAAAAGCATTCTCTCCTTTGTTGCCTGAGAGACACTTTTTGTCATGCTGAGTTGTCAGCATGAAAGGGCTGTCAGGCAAAAACTGAAGTTTTGGTTGACAATTGAGACAGTTTTCCTGTGTACAACTTGGTCCAGAACCTAACTGTTGGAGATGGGAGACATTCAAGAAACAAGGTTTGACTGTATTACAGAGATGAATACCTTTCAACTTATCCTTGTTCTCCCTCTGCTTTCTCATATATAAAAGGTACACTGTAAGATTTCTTAAGATTTCAGTATTAACTTTCTAGGATTCTCTTCTGCTAAATCTCCCTCTAATCTCCAGATCTTCTTCCTTCCCACTGATAAAGCCTATGAAGGTCACAGGTGTCTATTATATTTCAGAGACTTGAAATTGAACTTATCAGAATCATGTGGCTACTGGTTCTTGATGTAGAGCTAAAAATTCTAAATGGTAATGATGAGTCACTAAAAGTTATGTAATATAATCCAAATTTTGTAATTGTTTTAGCATCCTAATCCAAACTATAATCATACAGAACACTAGAAGTAAAGGAGTGTAACTGTTATTATTATTATTAAAATTTAAGAGCAAAGAGTAAAACCAGGCAGGTAGTCATATGCAGCTTATATATCCAATATTAAAGAAATATTAAAACGAGAAATTAAATGCTAAGTGTAATTAAGTAATAATCAGCAACAGCATTTTAAAAATTATTTACATGATTGAGAACTTGCTCATCCTCTTACCTGTTTTAGTTTTTTCCTTTTCTCCTTTAAAGGCAAACTCTTGCTTTTAATAATATTCTCCAAAAGTTCTGCAATTGCATCTTGAGAGGTAGAAACTTTTTGTTCATCAAACTCCTGAGCACTAATCTGCATACAGTATGAATATGTTGGCAAAGGCGCAATCAGTCCATCTCCAGGATTTTTAATCTGTAGTGAACAAAATGATACAGTCTATTAATTCTGGTCATGTTCCTATTTGATGAAGTGTTCTTTTGATGGCTTTTAGTACCTATTATTTTGCCACCAAACATTCAACACTTTAAGGTTTAAATTTCAGCTCCATAACCTACCAGCTTTGATTCAGTAAGTATTTTAACTTTTCTTGGTGTGTGAAGTGTCCCCTGATTACATGAAATAATATATAAAAAGTGTTTAGCACACAAGAAGTATTAAATAAAAGTAGCTATCATCATTATAACTATTAATCATGGATTTTATTATTTTAACTACAAAACATTAACTGAAGTGGTATTTTAATGCATCTTAAAACATGAATATTTGACACAGTAACAGTTAAAAGTACTCTTCTACTGTTTTTGAGGTGAAATGTTATGGGTTGAGCCCATAACATCCTATTGGCAAAAAAAAAAAAAAGTATAGGGGATAGTTGTAATTGTAAGCAGGGCAATGTTAGAATGGTATGTATGGGAAGAAACATGAATATATGTGCTGGGTAGCCAAAGACTGAATGTAGTAGACATCTGTTGTTTTTGGCTGCTCAGTACGTCTTCTCTCCTCCTTGTAAACAGTTCCTCCCCATTGTACACTCACAATCCTGACCTTTTTTGAAGAACAAGGTCCTCTCTCCAAGCTACTCACTCTCAATCACCCAAAGGTTATGCATTTAAATATCCTAGATTGGGCCAGAGTCCATACTAAGAACTGTTCAAATTGGAGATGGAGGATTGCTCTTTTTTCCTTTGGATTGCAAACATAAGTTTATAACTCAAGAGCTTTAATCAGCCATATTCCCATCATGTTGAAGGGCCATTTGTCAAATACAGGACCAAAATGGAAATAAGAAACAGAAGGATGAAAAGAGAGTCCTATTGCTATTTGATTCCCCAGATTCTGTCTACAGTCCTGACTTTTAGAGGTTATTAATGTGAGCTGATAGTGTTCCATTCTGACTAGGCTAGTTTGAGATGAGTTTGCCACTTGCAACTGACTTAATGCAGAGAATATTTTTGTTTGTTTCAAACTATAAGAGAATATTTCTTTGAAAAACCAGAGGTAGAAGTAATTTGTATAAGAAGTGGGCTTAGGAACCAAGTTATAGAGGCAAAGGAGGGCCCTTGGAGCTTAGAAGTGTGGAAGGTAAAGGTGAGGCACCTAGGGGGGAGGGGAGGGGTTGGAGGAAGGGAGAGGCGCAGGGTATGCACCTGGGAAGGAGAGCACCAAATGCAGATAATTTTGACTTATATAATACATACAAGGCCCCTTCTTAAGTAGTCAAGATGTTTCTCCACTGCAGCCTGTAAGTAAGAGGGTACTTGAAGAATTTCCTGATGATGATCCATTAAGAAAGAAACTAATCTTGCAGCAAGCAGCTCATCAAGATCCACTTCTTCGGCACAGCATAGCACACATCGAGAAAACGTGTGTATCATCTAAAAACATATTAAGAGATGTGAATTTAAAAACCTAAGGTTTTCTATGCTATAATAACAGTAATTTCTGGGTAGCACATGATAAGCAGGCTTCAGATTAAAAATGAGAAAAATAATCTTATTAGAAAGGTAAGAATGTCTATTCTTCTTTTTAAAGTATTTGTTATGTATTTCCTTAATATTATTCCATTATGAAAGGCTTAACTTTTAACTTTGTTACAATTTTGTCAGCAAAGACCATAGGTCCCATTAATACCATATAGATATGTTGCTTAAAGACTATTAGAGAGCAACGACTTATTACATTAATCTCACAAAAACACAAACCAGGAGACTATAATAATAAAAGTGTAATATGCTAATTAGACCGGATGACCTTCCAGATGAAGCCCGGGCTGTGAGGGAAGCCCGGGTCCTGGAGGGAAGCCCGGATCCTGGGTGCCAGAGGGAAGCCGGTGCCAACAGCTGGGGGAAGGAAAGCCTACTCTTGCACAAATTTCATGCATCAGGCCTCTAATATAACATATAAATGTTAATGGTTACAAAGAGTCTTCAAATTCTGGAATACATTTTATATTTCAGAGCTCATTTACTTATTCATAGCCATATAATCCACTAGCTTATATAAGTCACACACACTCATACCTCATTCTAAAATAATTAGAATATCAGAATTCTGTTTTAAGTATTTTTCACATAATATATGATGAGCATACTGAATTGAAATACTTTTGGTTTTATTCCTGCATATCAGGCAGGTTTCCTATCTCCCTCCAAAGCTTAGTCCTCAGTGTTTTCTTCTTCTTTCTCGGCTTTGTAGAGCCCATTTACTCTCATAGCTTCAACTACTACCTCTTCCAAAAATCTGCCTTCTGCCCTGAACTTTCTTCACCAGACTCACAGTTCCAACATTCTGTTAGATAAATTTCACTCAGATGTCCCATAACCTCGCACTCAAAAAGTGTAAAAACAAAATTATCTCCTTCCTACTCATGTCTCTCAAATTATTTTCACAAAATACCTTCTTTCAAAAGGTGGTGCTACAATTACTCAAGAATAATTCTTCCTCCTTATATTAGGTCTATCATTGTAAAAGAACTGTCCCTAATGAGTGGAAAAATAGAGATTAGCTCCAAATTCCTTGGTACAAAAACCTCTTGTAAATTGAAACTCCATTGTGAGGAGAGTTAGCTCTGGAGAGGAGGAGAGGAGAGGGGAGGGGAAGAGAGGGGAGGAGAGGGGAGGGGAAGAGAGGGGAGGAGAGGGAAGAGACGAGACTACATTCAAGAGTTCATACTGCAATCAATATCTGCACATAAATACCTCTGCCCTCATCCTCATATAGAACCTGAGATGGCTACATAGTAGTCTCTTTCAACTCCTTGACCACAATGATGTGCCATTCTAATTCACATAATTCATACCTCTGCCCTCATCCTCATATAGAACCTGAGATGGCTACATAGTAGTCTCTTTCAACTCCTTGACCACAATGATGTGCCATTCTAATTCACATAATTCATCTAAATACTGCTTACCACAATCTCTGAAACATTTAGATTTACTATACATGCATTTCCATTAACTTTCTGCTTCAGAGTTAGTACCCTTAAGCTTCCAACAATACCTACATCTCCTCTTCCTTCCCACCAAACAGAATTGACACAAGGCAATATAATATGGTCCGACTATGAAGTGATACAGGATGAGTGAAGAGGCAAAATTTTCAGACTAAAAGATCACGATGTTAAAGTATAACAGACTGGGCACAAAGGATTAATATGTCAACATTTTATTTCTAGGAAATATTAGACTTTTAAGAGCATTTCTAACCTAAGAAACTAGGATGTCAAGACCATGCCAGCACTCAAGTAGTACTTTTAGATGGTTTGGTTTCCTTTTTTTGTTTTGTTTTGTTTATGAACCAGGGCTTATTCTTTCCTTAAGAAATCAACTTACCAGTGATCTTGTACCCATTGCATCGTGAAGTTGGGGCATATCAACATTTTGACTCATCCGAGAAATCATGCGCATCAGAAGTTGAAGCTTTCTACGATTTGGTGGGGGAAGTAACAAGCAACATAACTGTAGTGCATTGATGGCAACCCTCTCTAAATGAGGTTGCAGCAAACCTAGAAAGCAAAGTCCCCAACCCCGAAAAAAACAATCAATAACATTAGTTGCTTTCATACTATTAGCATATGGAGTTACTTAAAGTAAAATAATATTTCTATATTTCATTTCTTTTAACTAGAAATTTCCACATTCCTCAAAAGCATGATTAAGATTCTCATTAATTTCTTCATAACTTATTTGAGTATTAACATCCTATAGTTATTACAACTAAAATGAGTCAGAATAAGTGAAATTGAAAAAAAGGAAGTGCTTTAGGTAAGTAGAATAAATCTTGGTTATATCATGACAAGTCTTTTACAGTAAGAAACTTTCCTTCTGGAGGGAGAAAAAAGCAATTTCAGAGAAGAAAAGCCAGGCAAGCAAAAATAGTTAGTAAACACTAATAGTTAATATTACGTGCAATGAAAGCATCAACCTTACTTTGTGTGCCAGTCAACATAGAAGAGGCTGAAGGTAAAGAATTTCCTGAAAGTTCTATTGTACTTTTGCAGAGTCTTTTATTGATTGTGGCACTAAACTCTCCATGTTCACCTTCCATAGCTGTTTGCACACTTGTGCTGCCTTGTCCAAGATTTGGTTTCATGATAATTTCAGCCACTGGCATATTGATATAACTATTCCTCTTCGTACTACTTCTTAAAAGTAAACTCTGAGATCTACAAAGCTGTCTTGACTTGCTTTTCCCATTATATAACTCCTCTTGGTCTTGAACAGTCATAGTAGAGGTTCTCTTAAAACCAACACAGAGTGGCTTTTGAATACTTTCCTCTGAATGAAGATTCATTATGGATTCCTGTTTGATCTCAGACTCTAAAAATTGTTTATTATTTTGTCCTTCTCTATTCAGAATAGATTGATGGATGACACTGGAGACCTCTTTACATGAACTCCCTGGCAAATCTATAATTCCTTCTAAAGAATAGCACCTTGGTTTGATGTTAGAGGCTAAAGCATGCATACTACTTAAGCCTATTAAACTATGACAGCTTCCTCCTATTATGTCATTAGCACTGGCTCTTCTGTTTTTTAAATCAACTAGCTGCACTTTCTTAACCCATTTTTCTTGAAATCCGTGATCGCTTATCTGCAGTCTCTCAGTAGTATTTGATTCTTCTTTGTTTTTGTCTTTGCGAAGCAGACTGAGAAGAAGACACTCAGTTGATTTGAAGGAATTCAAACTGTTTACGTGAAGGATTTTTGAAGACTGTAGATCATCTTGGATTTTATGTATCCCACTGGGTCTATCTGAAACTGTGATGTAGCCACAAACAACTACCAGGAAATGAAACAAAAATTAAGATGCAACTGTATGACAGTGGACAAAAATAAAACAGAAACAACAGTAAAGTTAAAAAAATAAAGCATCACTATAGTACATATTGTTAGTATAATACAAATAGCAGTTGCTGAATTCAGAAGCCACTTAAACAGGACACATGCAACATTCAGTTACAAAGTGCAAGACTGACTAGAGGTTTTTAATTTGTGATACCAATAACTAAAATTTATTTCAACAATTGAATTAAACGGATTGAGTCAAATACATGAAAATATCTGCTCACAGTCTAAAAGTATTAAAAAGCTCTTAATTATAACTAACATATAGTATAATAAAAATATGTATTTGGTCTTTGTTTCTGGTTCTTGGCAGAGAGCTCCTAAAATCCTTGGAATTTCTGGAGTGAAAGGAATCTTCTGTTATTCATAATAAGCCTATTAGAGCAATCTGAGTTTATGCTAATGAGGGGACTTAGGGCTGGCCTTGTTTAGAAGGTTGGAATCCTCAGCCCTAACTCAGACCTCCCTGAAGGGGTTGGAGAAGTAATGTAATCACCAACAACCAATGAATGAATGAATCAATCATGCCTATGTAATGAAACCTCAGTTAAAACTCTGAAACAATAAGTTTAAGGAAGCTTACGGGTTGGTGAGCACATGGATGTGCTTAGGAGGGTGGCACTCCTGGAGAGGGCATGGAAGCTTTGCACAGCCCATAACTTACCCTATGTCTCTCCTTCCATTTGGCTCTTTCAGACTTGCATCCTTTATAACACACGGTAATCATTAAGTAAAGCACTTCCCAGAGCTCTGAGTCCCTGTAGTGAATTATTCAACCTGAGGGGTTTCATGCTAACTCCTGAATTGGTAGTTAGCCAGAGGTGGGGAGGGGTGGAGAGTGAGTAAACCTGAGGACCTCATTTGCAGATAGTGCCTGAAGTTAGAGCAGACTTGTGGAACTCAGCCCTTAATCTGTGGAGTCTGCACTAACAATGGGTAGTCTGCATCAGACTTTTTCTTTAACTTGTAGGGTCTTGGCTAGTATCAAAAATAAATTGAATTGTAGGACACCTGATTGATGTGGAGAATTGGTGTTGGATTGATATATATAAATTATTGGAAAACAACACAACAGCAATCAGAATATTCCTGAATTTAAAAATATGTTATAGCTTGCTGCCTTCATATTTACCTATACTATATTTTTTGATATTTTAAATTATGGGAGACTTGAAAACTTTAATGAAATAAATTTAAACAACAAGTAAAATCCATACATACCCAAAATGTTCACAAATAATTCATAATATTCAAAGGTAAGTAGAGGTTCAGGGAGATCTAGAAAATAATCTGCAATTGTTCTAAATACATCTCGTTCAAATCCAACGTAGGTTGGATTACTCATATCATTACTTCTTGGCCCTAAGAAGTAAAAGGCAAAAATATATAAGTGATATTTATAAACAGATTTTTAAATATAAAATATGAAACCTGTTTCATGAAAGAACTATGTTTAACAACAAATTCTGTCACAGTTCAAACATTTAAAGGGTTGTGCACACCTCATTCCTTCTCATCATCTTTTCAGCAGAAGTCACTGCAATTACTACCATTTTTTAAATATCTATAAGCCTGAAAAACTGCATATAAAGCAAAATTTGAAATATATATTAAAAGCATTAGGGACGTTTATTTTAATGGAATTTTACCACAATTCATTTTAAAAAGCAAAGAATATTTGGATAATACAAATAATTCCTACAAATTGTCTTTGCAAATTTACATCTTCATGAATAAATTTTGCCTGATTTTATTTGCGTTACACTTATTAATCTGTGCAGTTATTCAATGTCTGGTAAGTTAATGCTCAAGAAAAACTATTAATTTTCATTAAAATGTTCTATTATTTTACATTAACGATTATTCATTTATTTCAGCCCTTTGTATTCAGCATGTCTCTAACGAAATAAACCTACGTTTCTATGAAAATTGAAACTTTTGGTTTTTTTGCGGCCCACATAAACTTAAGCCTTGTTTATTTGGCCCATGTTAGCCTTTGAGTTTGACATGCTTGCCTTAGCTTAGAGCAATGTAAAGTGAGAGCAGCACCCAGGACCTTGAGGTCCAACATTTCAAGTGTGGTCCATGGACTATATAATGGGAATCATCCAATGTGCCTATTAAAAATAAGAACTCCTCTATACAGATGAGAATCTATGGAGGGGGAGCTTGGAATTACTGACCTAGAAATGTTTGTTTCTGCTTTACTAATCTAGTAGTTTCTAAACACTGATCTGGGCTTGCCCTAAGGATCTGGAGGCATAGTTAAAAAAAAAAAAAAAAGATTCCTGAGAGGTTAAATCTTCCCTAGTAATTGAGAGTCAGCGTGCTATCTTTCAAGTTAAAATCCTTCTCTTCCTAAATTCAAATGATTTCTTATTTCTGTTTCTAAACTTTTGCATGGCTCCACATGTGTGAGTACACACACTAAAAAAAGGATTAAAGAAAACAAATCATATATTACACACACATTTAATAGCATAGAGGCTAATATGGGTTTTATGTAGAGCAAAATAAACTTTTTTCTAAGGAGGATATAAGAAATATTCTTAATATGTAGAATAAAAAATTAATAATCAATAGAAATTTTCTAAGATGAAACATTTTACTGGAATTAAAACTATATAATTTATAGTTATAGAATCTATGCATTAGAATACTTTTCTAAGCCTAGGTTTTCTTTCTAGAAAAAAAAATGTAATAGTATACTGACCACTAATTCTTATATGTGACAGGATAACTGTGGGGGATTAAATAACAAGTAAAAGTCTTAATACTTGGCTACATATACTCTCATTAAAGTGGAATTCAGTAAATTACATTTTTGGTATCATTTAGGTATAACATGGACTGGGAAGAAAGGGAAGACACAAATCTCTCAAGATGGGGCATCAGAGAAATACCTGGAAGTATGCTTATCTGACCTGCAAACCATGAGCCAAGGTATGAGAGTGGAGGGCAGTGAGGTAGGGGGAAGGTAGAAAGAAAAACTCAAAATTTTAAGATTATGACCCAGATCTTTACCTCGATTTAATAAATAAAATCTTTCTATAATATACATTATTTACTTCATTGTTCTGTTATTCTGTCATATTGACACCCAGTGGACAACAAGGGAATATATACTTAAATTGAACATTAGTAAAATAGTAATTTTATAAAGACTAGAAAAATACCTTTGTAACAAAATATTAAAATATAACTTAACTTTTGATGATTTAGACTCACACACCTCTGTAAATTTTTCAAATTGCTCTTGAAAGCAATTAGGTTTTTGTACCTGATTGGAATCTTAAATTATAAAAATCAGTTATCACTGATCACTGTGAAAAAAGCTTGATGACAATGTTAAAAAATAATTTGCTGATTAGTAACAGATTTTTTTTCACGGAAGTCTCATTAGTATATCCCGGCAATTTTCAACCCTTTTCATCTACACATAAACTAATCATTAAAATTCTGCAGCATACCATAAAATATATTTTTTGCCGATCTCACAAAAAATATATGTATACTTTTGATTGACTTACAAAAAATAATAATAATTACCCATCCTTTTTGTTCCAAAGTAACTTTTAAAAAATTTAAGTGCCTATACTTGTATATAAGGATTTCTGATACCAAGAATTAACCAATCAGACACAACCTTATTATGAGATGTGCCCAATAAGATAGAACACTACTAAATGATCTATATATTTATAATTCAAGAGAGGGCATTCACACCAAATAACTATTCCTGTGTTGACCATTATCATTTTTTATTTGACAGTTTAAGGGAAAAGAGGTCAGTGCCTCTGACTAAATAGTCAGGTATTGCATGTTTTAAAAATTCTTGCAGCACACCTTGTGACTATCCCTGGTATATCCTACAGAGTAGAAGCTTGTTCATGGAACATCTGAATGTTATAGCTGTGTACAATGGCAAGGGGTTTGAAGTGGATTTAATGAGACTTCATTTCTGATTGAAACTTTCCATTTATAGCTGCTTTACTTACAAGTTGCTATTTGAACTCTGGTTTTTACTGAGACAACTGATGTAGATTATACCAAAAAATCATTTGAGATCTTCTAGCCTATGATTTTATGATTTATGAAAATTGAACTATAAATTATGAGCTTGAATTATAAAATCACCATCCGCAAAGAAAAAATTAAGGGCTCTATAACATACTCCACATGGAAAGAAATGTAACCAGTTCTACTAGATTTTCATTTAAACATCAAAATAAAAATTATATACTTTAATTTTATCAGAAATTTAATACATTATTTAAAAATATTTCTCTGTTCTTATTAAACACTATCAATATAAAACATATATACATATTGTTTAACTTACAATTTGCTAGACACTTCATGGCAGATAATACCCAATGAGGAAGATCATCTACACATAAAAAAATTATGAACATTGTTTAGTAATTCACAACGTTTTTGATAGTATATTTAAAACTTAATACTTACCCCCAAATCAAGGATTAATTATTTTATGGGAGGTGGTTAGGAATAAATTAACATTAATCTCTACCCATTACAACCATCTTTACTTTATCCTCATCTCTGTTCTGACTATAGCTATCTTACATTAATATTACTGACTGGAGAGAGACCTACAATTGAAACAAGGTATATTTGAATATTAGTGTGCTTTCACAGTGAGGCTTGCTTCAAATCTTTTCATTATCACTAATTGAAATATGCTGCATAAAATCCAGCAGTTTTTGATACAAACATAAAAATCATACAAACACTTGACTTCAAAAGTTTATAGTTATAAAGAATAGAAAGCTTGGATGAGAGCATATACAGTTATTTTACAGTTATTTTGGACCACTGGAATGGTTCAAAGCCAAATGCATATGTAACATAACTCTTAAGTTTTGACATTTACTATTTGTTCCTACAATGAAAACCTCAAAGTTCTTGCATACAAAAAGAAACTCAAAGTAATACATTTCAATTAATTCTATAAATAGCAATTGATTATTAAAAAATTACTCAGGCCCTGGTTGGATGGCTCAGTTGATTGGAATGCCATCCTGTGCACCAGAAGGTCACAGGTTCGATTCCCGATAAGGGCACATACCTAAGTTTGGGGTTTGATCCCCCATCAGGGTGCATATGGGAGGCAACTGACTGATGTTTCTCTCTCCTTCTCCTTTCCTCTCTCTCAAAAATCAATAAACATATCTTCCCATGAGGATGAAAAACAAAAAAGACATTTTGAGAGCATTTACTGATATACTTTTTGTAATATTTTCTAATGTATCTGCCTTGAATTATTTCCGATTTTCCTATCTTATAGCTGAAATCAATACATTATATAAATGTATATAATAATATAAAAAACATATACATAATACAAAGCCAGTGCTCTTTAGAGTACTGGTGTTGAGAGGTCGGGCTTATTTTATTGTGTTACTTCAGTTTTGCATATGTCTTGACCCCTTTAAATTTATATGCTCATGTAAGCTCCAGGAAGGCATGGCCATTCCCTCTTGTTCATCACTAAATCTTGGGGACAATGCCTGGCACATTATAGGTCTTCAATAAAATGTGACTAATCAATGGTTTTAATTATATTTGTATTAGAGGCCTGGTGCACTGATTCGTGCACCGGTGGGGTCCCTCGCCTGGCCTATACCCTCTCACAATCCAGGACCCCTTGGGGATGTCAGAGAGCCAGTTTCGGCCCCATCCCCGCAGGTCTGATCCAGAAGGGAGGGAGCCTGATCCCCACAGGCCTGATTCAGACAGGAGGGAGCCCAAGCCTGTGCGTTGAGCGTCTGTCCCCTGATGGTCAGTGCTTGTCATAGTGACCGCTTGACAGGTTGTTTGGTCACTTAGGCTTTTATATATATAGATACCTTTTTTTGGATGTTTAACCATGCCATTAAAAAAAATCATGAATAATATAATATGATATTGACTTAAAAAATATTCCACTGTGATTGCTAAAGCACCCGTGATAAAGCAATAGTGTCCCTGATGCTCTTTCAATTCAACTATTCTGCCTTCTACACTGTGGTCTCTGTGCACCCCCACAATAGCTATCACCTTTGTTTGCAACTTTAAAAAGAGTCCAACTTCTTTTATTGATACGAACCTGATTTGTCTTGTAGTACAACTACTCCATGTTTACTTGTATTGGTCATGTTGTACATTATATATTGAGGAATCACTTGTTTTGGGTTTATGACTTCTTCTAGGGATGACACCCCTAAAATGGTTTGAAGGCTAAAGAGAAGAAAGAACACAAACATTTTTCCTCCATAAACTAAGTACAATAGAATATAAATATGAAAGGGTTTGGCAAACAAATAAAGCCCTCAGAGTATAATGTTTTTGTTTTTCCTGAAACCAAACTTCGAAGGCTTATATTTAGTATCTAATTTTAAAAATATTTATTTTTATAATTTTTAAGGATTCCAATATAGATTCCAATATACAGCTACAATTAAAAAACACCACCACACCAAATCATACTGAAAACATTCTATTTCTACTATCCTAGAATTACAGCAAAAACACTAAGAAACACATATACAGGTTAAGTTCTAAGCTTTGAGAACTAAGCTGCTCTTTTGCTTTAGCATATATGGATGAAAAAAGAAAAATTAAAATTCTAAACATCTGTGGAACTTGGTTTGTTTTAGCTTACTAGTTCAGAATAATGTATCTCCAAACTTCTTCAATATCTTTCTGACTTATTTCTCTATTATCAACTGAGTTTTCTTGATCTTCATTGATTATTTCACAGTTCATGTTTTCAGTATTTTCCTGAAAAGAGAATTACTTTGGGTTAATATGTTATGCTCAAATTAAGGATATTTTGAACTGACCCCACTCCATGTGGATCTCTGAGGTAAGTGTTACCTGATGAAATAATGTAACATAAAGCTTTTGGTTTTGCAGTTGGGCAAATCACACTCAAATAAATTTAAAATAAAACACGCTTAAATCATATAATTACTATTTCAAGTATGTCTCACTACCACTTTTTATTACTGTTTCTATGAGTTCCACACATTTTTAAAGTATAATGAAAGTTAAGAGTGTCAAATACTGGCTACAAATATTAAAAAAATCATTTACTTTTAATGATTCTATTATTAAGCACATAGTAGTTATATTTAAACTAGTGATTAGTAAAAAATATGTTTTACCTGAGAGAATTGCAATCCATGCTTTTTAGGAGTTCTACGAGATAAGTTTCGTAATTTAAAAATACTGTCTTTATCCTTGGAAAAGTTCTCTATGCTGTTTTTTCTCAATTCTGGATGCCTTCGTGGAAGAGTTTTAAGTGGAGAATTTGCAGGAAATCTGATTTAAGAATAATATGCAATTAAATAATGTAGATCAGAAACAAACTTACTGCTTGTTTATCTTAAAAATCACATAAAAAACTGATTTACATTATCAAGGAATGAAAAGTCTACATAAATTTTCCCATTAAACCTTTAAAGTTACTTTAATAGTTTCCTGCTTTCTTTAGTACATTGGCTATTTTAAATTTATTTCTGGATAATTCAAGGTTATTATTAAATCAATTATGTTGGGGAGGTATCATTTACATAAAAAATAGTTTAGAATGTTACATTTTCTAATATTTTCCCCAAGTTATCTAATTTGTATATATTTTCTGCTCTAATTTCCAGAAGTTGGTCTCTGTTACTTTTTTTTAAAAATGTTTTTATTGATTTTAGCGAGCGAGGGAGAGATAGAAACATCAATGAGAAAGAAACATTGATTGGCTGCCTCCTGCACACTCCCTACTGGGGATTATGCCCAAAACCTGGGCATGTGACCCCCACTGGGAATTGAACTGGGGACCTTTTGGCTCATGGGTTGACACTCAACCACACCAACTGGGACACTTTATTATTATATAGCTTTTTTCTTTTATTTTAATATAAATATTTCAAATATATAAAAACATATATACAGAAAATAATATAAAACATCTATGTATGTAACCATTAACCAATGCAATTAACATTTAACCAAATATTTCATTATGTGTTTTTTTTTAATCCTCACTTGAGGATATTTTTTCCATTGCTTTTCAGAGAGAGTAGAAGGTAGAAGGGATGGAGGGAGAGGGAAAAAGAGAGAGAAACATGACCTGAGAAAGACATGACTGGTTGCGTCCCTAACAGGGGCAGAGAGCGAACCTGAAGTCCAGGTACTTGCCCTTGATGGGAATCAAATGCACAACCTTTTGGTGCATGGGCCCACGCTCTAACCATTGAAAAACACCAGCCAGGGCATCTTTTTTGTTTTTTTATGAAAGAAATTATTTGCTTATTCTAGTTTTCTCTTCCTAAGGGAAATCATTAACCTATAGTTAGCATATTTCTTTCTTGTTCATGTTTTTATACTTTTAATGAACATACAAAAACAGTATATGGTTTGGTATTTTTTTCACTCAGTAGTATCTTTTATCATACATTTAATTTATGCATAAGTTTTTAAGTCACCTTAAAAGTTCTTTCTTATTCCTCCATCCTAAAATATTTTCTTATATTATCTCATAAGAGTTGTATTTTCATATATAGTTATTTAATTCATATATGTTATGCCAATTCCTCATATATGTATGGGTTTGTATTCTCAGTTAATTGTTTCAATTTAGGCCCAGATACCAGGTTAAGGCAATTCTTCCCTCCTTGTTCTTCAAAATTGCCTTGGACCTTTAAATTATTAAGTAAATTTTAGAATCTGCTTGTCAAATTCAACAAAAACAATTATATAGATAGAGGTCTTGAATAAAAATGCACTGAATTTATCAATTTATGAAAAAGCGACTGTGATACTAAGTCTTCTCATTCATGAAGAGGATATCCTTCTCCATTTATTTTCTTCAATTTTATAATTTCCCCCAGGAAGGTCTTATACATTTTTGGAAAACTTTATTATGTACTTTATAGTTGCTATTGTAAAACACTAAGGCAGAGGGTCTAGTTGAAGAGTTATGTAGAATTCCAGTTAAGAGAGAATAATGGTCTAACCAAAAGAACATTCTTAGTGGAGAGAAAAGTGGACAGAACAGAGAACTATTGAGGCAGCACAGTAGAAATCGTTTTATAATTAAATCATATTTAAAGGGGAGGAGGAGGGAGTCCAGGTATCTAAAGGGAAGACAGTGCCATTCTTTCGATGATAGTGATTTTCTATTTGCTATATTTGAAGGCCTAATAGGCAAAAAAAAAAAAAAAAAAGTGGCTAAAACTCAGGAGAGATATTTTGGCTGGAGTTTTGCAAGTCTTAAGAAAGGCGGGTGAAGGCATAGCATAAGATTACTTAGGGAGAGAGGTGGAGAAAAGTCTAGGACCTTGCAAACCAGTAACAACTAAAGGATGAGCAGCAGCCAAGGAGCCCACCAAGGTGACAAAGGAGTCCGTAAGAGAGGAAAGATTTCTAGGGTGTTATACAAAATGAACTGTTCATATAGCCCTTATTGCAGTTTATTTGTACGGCATAAACATCTTTAATAACATAGGCAAGAATCTATTTCTAAGATATTTCATTTGAAAAGTACCAATTCTGCAGAGGAAAAAAACATGGATGTTAGAATCCAAAGACCTACTTCAAGGGAAATATAACAAAGAATCCTGGGTGCATGAGAGAAAAAGCAATTATGTGCCTGAGAGACTCAGCAAGGCTCCATGGAAAAGGCTACAATAGAGTTGACATGAGAAATGTATTTAGTAGTTTGATAAGTGGGTACAGTGTTTCAAGGTGGAAGAACATATTCAGACAGAGGTAACATGATTTGTTAGAGCACAGTCTCAGCTTCCGCATCTATAAAAAGGAGCTAACACCTACCCTTCTTAACTATTACAGTGACAAATAAGAAAACATGTAAGTCATAAAGCAGGGTCTCCGATACACAATAAACATGTAATTATTCTCTTTAATCAGTGGTATGTTTCTTCTGTTATTATATAAAGTTTGCTAATATTTATCTTATCACATGCATTTTTAAATTATATAAGATCATGGTACTTGAAGACAAGGATCTGTGACAATTTGTCTTGTAATTCTTAAATCTATGAAATGAAAGGTTAATAATGATCTGTCCTTAAAATGTTATAGAGCTTTCAGAAGGGCTAATATCTCACTTTCCTCCCAATTCCCTATTTTATTATATATACTATCTAACATTTTAAAAGTTTGAACTGTGCAGCTATTAACTTTAACTTCTCTAAATGGTCTTAATCAGACTAAGCGCAGTTTCTCTACAGAAAAGAAGCTGCTGTTTTATTAAAAGTGTACTAGAAGTGGAGTCAAACTTTAAGTAATTCAGTTTTCCAGTTATTTCTTTATTCAGTACCTGAATAGCTGACCGTTGTCATAAAGATTTTCTGATCCCCATCTCCCTTTGATATCTTCAATTACATGATTCTTAAGAAATTTTCTCAATAATTGGATAGTCTGTTGCCTTGTTACTTCGGGACCAAAATTGTTATTATTTCTTAATAGGTCATAAAGCCAATCCACTGCTTCTCCTGCTGTGAAACAATTGCCATACTTTTTAAAGTGTTGCCTGTGTTTTCTTAGAGGCATTCCTGCTCGAAAAGATGTCGTAACTTCATTCCACTGCAAAAGAAGTAAAATATTTTTTAAAAATTAACAAAAATGAAATCTCTTACTGATTTAAAATAAATTAGACAAAGGAAATTCTTTCATTTACATCCGATTACATCATAAAATTTCATAAAGAAATCATTCACCTTATTGGTACTACAGAAAATGTGATATCTCATACAGATTTATTTTAATTAATTCTACTGTTGTGATAATATTTTCATGTAAGTTTTTTGAATAAAAGCACTTCATTGGCTGGTTGGCTTATTTAGGAAACCTAGGAATAGTAAAGAGCTGCAATGAACCTATCCTTTAGTTCTCTAAAAAGAGGACGTATTTATTCCTGTGGTTTTAAAAAAACCACCTCAATTAATACTAATAATATGGTGGTAGCATTTGTGTCAGACACTACGCTTTACATTAATCATTTCACTTTAATTCTTGCAATTCTATGAACATTATTATCCCAGTTTTAGATGAGAAGCACAGAGAGATTTAATAATTTGAGGAATGTCACACAATTCAGTGATGAACCCAGGTATTCTAACCCAGGTCTGATGGACTCTAGCACCTGAGCTTGTAACTACTAGGCTGGCCACAAACGAAACTCATGGCAGGCAGTAGTTTCACGGGTGAAACACCTTTAATATTAAAATAGCTTATATATTTATTATAGTATCTCTTATGTGAAGATTCCAATATTGTACATGGAACAGATGGGGTGAATTAAGTAAATTTTAAGTCCATTGTGTATTTAATGACACTGTGATATATCTACAGTTTTAAAAGGCACATTTTCCAAATGGCCCTCAAATCACCCAAACTTTTAGGTTTGTGGAGCATGAACGTGGTGGTGGGGTAGACTAAACACCCACTTTTTATTTGAACCATCTTACAGAGGTCAAGAAATCTTATTTGTAAGCCCGGCCTAGCCACTGCTGGCTGTGTGATCACGGATCTAACCTATGCAGCCCCAACATCACTACGCAAAATCTCACCCACCGCTGAAAACACAAGGTCCGCATTCCTTGCTTCCCACACCTCCACATTTCACTTACTTTTTCAACAAACATCATGAGCTGCAACCGATCCTCTGGATACGTTGTTTCTTATTCTACATATCGTAACACACTTCCACATGCATGTCCTCTCCAGAGCCATCATAGAGTGGACATGCATTATCAGCCCCACTTCACCTGGAAACCGAGGCTCCAGAAGTCAGGCGACTCCCCTAAGGTCACAGAACCAGGGCGCGGGCACACACCCGGCGGTGCCCCAGCAGTGTTCCGGATGGAACCTCAAATATGCCGGGCGTATTTGTTTTGACGGGGTCAGCTGCTACCTGCTGGCATTCGGCTGGTCCGTCTGCATTAAATTCTACAGAGCCAGCCACACGAACGAACCTGCCAGGTTCGGGCCGGCCCCGGGTCCGACCCCGCAAAGCAGCGGAACTCATAGGAATTCTTCTCGGAGCCCGTGGATGCAGGAAACCAGGCGTGGGGGGCGGCTGCCCGGGCAGGAGCCCTAACAAGGCGGGAGTAGGATGCGCCTTTGCGGGGTGCTCGCAGCAACCGAGGGGGACAGACTTGCCCCGCGATCCCCCTTAATGCTGTTTCCATCTCCCTCCCGCGCACCTAGCGGCTCTGGGCGCCCTCCCTCCGCCCAGGTAAAACTACCAACCCTCTCCCGTAAAGATGGTGGCGGCCATCACGCCGGCGGGCTCTGCTTACCAGCCTGGTGGCCCGATAAGGCCCCGGAGGCACACTCCGATTCTCCATGCCTTCCCCTTCCGGCCCGGAGGTCCGTCAGCGCGGGGCGCGGTGCATGGCGGTGGAAGGTGACACTACGGCCGGGTCCAGCCGACTCTGTGGCCAGCCTTTCCGCCGGCCGCGCCGCCGATTTGAATAACGCAGTGGCTGCGCTGATTGGCTACGCCTCCGGTCACGTGACGCGCCGTGGTCCCGGCGCCGCGGGCGTGGGCGGGGGAGGCGTTTTGGACCCTGGAGCGGCCCGGGTGCGTGGTGCCTGGTACTCACCGCTCTGCCCGGCCTCTCCCGCCTTCCTTGGAGCTGTTCCTTTCTCCCTCTCCAGGTCGTGGGCGAGGCGGAGTCAAGTTCCCACACTCAGGAAGGGTGAGGCGGGATTCTTCCCAGACCAGATTGTTTGAAGCCCAGCCTTTGGTTTAAGGGAATTTCAAAATTGAAAAGAAAAAGCAAACCCTGGCTATTCAAGGATCTTGAGTCGTGGTTAGCATGCAAAACAGCGCATCCCGGAGGCATAGCTTTCACCCGAAAAACCCCTTGGCTTTGCTTCTAAAAAACTTCCGTGGTATTTGTTGCAGTACTGCCAGCCGGGTACCTTTACGCAGGTGCCATAATTCCGTTCTCCCCAGTGCAAAAATGTAGGTTTACTCCTTTGCCCCCTTTATTCAGTGCATGAGGCGATTTTCATAAGTACACACAGTAAGGACTTTGGGAAGGTTATGTGAAACTTGCCAAATTGCTTCCCCTAAGAAAATCTACTTACCATCTATAATAATAAAAGGGTAATATGCTAATTATACCTGACATCTTCCAGACATCCTTCTGAACATCCTTCCAGACAAAGCCACCGTGGTGTAGGCAGGGGATAGCAGTCAGGGTTGAGCAGGCCAACAGGGGAAGGCAGTTAGGGGCAATCAGGCCTGCAGGGGAGGGCAGTTAGGTGTGATCAGGCCAGCAGGGGAGGGCAGTTAGGGGCAATCAGGCTGGCAGGCAGAGTGGTTAGGGGCGATCAGGCAGGCAGGTGAGTGGTTAGGAGCCAGCAGTTCTGGATTGGGAGAGGGCTGTCCGGCAGTTCAGACATCCCCCAAGGGGTCCCAGATTGAAGAGGGTGCAGGCTGGGCTAAGGGACCACCACCTTAAATGTGCACGAATTTCGTGCACTGAGCCTCTAGTCCAGTGGTTCTCAACCTGTGGGTCGCGACCCCTTTGGGGTCAAACGACCCTTTCACAGGGGTTGCCCTAAGACCATCAGAAAACTTATATAATTACATATTGTTTTTGTGATTAATAACTATGCTTTAATTATGTTCAATTTGTAACAATAAAATTGGGGGTCACCACAACATGAGGACTGTATTAAAGGGTCGCGGCATTAGGAAGGTTGAGAACCACTGCTCTAGTCTATAATAATAGAAGCGTAATATGCTAATTAGACCGCACATCTTCCAGACATCCTTCCTGACATCCTTCCAGACAAAGCCACAGTGGCGGGGCAGGGGAGAGCAGTCAGGGGTGATCAGGTCAGCAGGGGAGGGCAGTTAGGTGTGATCAGGCTGGCAGGCAGAGTGGTTAGGGGTGATCAGGAAGGAATGTGAACAGTTAGGAGCCAGTGGTCTTGGATTGGGAAAGGGATGTCCGGCAGTCAGACCTCCCCCAAGGGGTCCCAGATTGGAGAGGGTGCAGGCTGGGCTAAGGGACCCCCGCACTCGAGCATGAATTTCATGCACCAGGCCTCTAGTCTATAAAAATAAAAGTGTAATATGCTAATTAGACCAGATGTCCTTCCAAACAACCTTCCGGACGAAACCGGGGCTGGAGGGAAGCCCGGGTCCTGGGTGCCAGAGGAAAGCCCGGGGTCCTGGGTGCCAAGGGAAGGAAGGCCTACTCTTGCATGAATTTTGCGCATTGGGCCTCTATTCTATCTATATAAAAGGCTAATATGCTAAGTGTCCTTCCCTCCGACCAGGTAATGACGTCAAGTAGCAACACCTGGCTTCCTCTCTCTAGCCACGACTAGCCTCCTTGCAGTTTCTTCAGCCCAGGAACATGGCTTGCTTTATAGCCAGGTGCAAACATTTTACACTTTAACCAAATATTTGTGAAGTGTTTTCCCATGCCTCATCTCATTTGATCCTCACCGAAGTCCTGGAGTAGGTAGGTAGGAGACTTGGTGGAATCCTATTTTCTTTTCATTAGCTGGAAGATGGAGTTTTAGAAAGCTTAGAAACTTGACCCGACTGAAAAGAAGTAAGAAATGGTGGACCTTGAAAATGACTTCAGGTTTTCTCCCTGCTTGATCTACAATCATAATGTGCTTTGTGTTGATATTTACTGCTGTGTTGTCCACAATTAACTGAAAGAGAAGTTGGGGTGCTCCACTGGGCTGGAAAAAGTTTAGCTAAATCAGAAAGCAGGTCTAATTAAGAAAGTTTGTTCTCTATATATAAAAGGCTAAGTTGATTCACGCATGTGTGATACATATAAAGCTCTCGCTAGCACCAATCGCACATGTGTGTTTCAATCTGTCATTGTCGATAGTGAATTTGATTGACACTTCTATTATAGAGAAAGAGTGAATAGTGATATTAAAATATTTCTTCTGATTTCCTTTCAATGTGCATGAATTCATGCACCAGGCCACTAGTATCTTTATAAAAATCCAGGTTATCCACTCATCTACTGATGGGCAATTGAGCTGTTTCCAGATATTGGCTATTGTAAATAATGTTGCTATGAACATATATTCTTTCTGATTGGTATTTCAGCTTTCTTAGGATATATTCCTAGAAGTGGGATCCCTGGGTCAAGTGGCAGTTCCATTTTTAATTTTTTGAGGAAACTCCACAATGTTTTCCATAATGGTTGCTCCAGTCTGCATTCCCACCAACAGTTCACTATGGTTCCCTTTTCTCCACATCCTCGCCAGCATTTGTCATTTGTTGATGGTAGCCATTTTGACAGGTATGAGGAGATACTTAGTTGTCATTTTAATTTGCATCTCTCTGATGATTAGTGATGTTGAGCATTTTTTCATATGTCTCTTGGCCATTTGTATGGAGAAGTGTCCTCTTTGGAGAAGTGTCTGTTCCTGTCTGCCCATTTTTTAATTGGATTTTTTTTGTCTTTTTTTTTCTTGAGTGGTATGAGTATTTTGTTTATATATTTTGAGTAATTTATATATTTATCATTGGCAAATATGTTCTCCCCAAAAATGGGTTTCCTTTTCATTTTGATGCTGGTTTCT